GTGTCCGCCAATAACTAAAAAATAAATATTAAAATTCTCTCTCTCTCTCTCTCTCTCTCTCTCTTTAAAAAAAAGAAAAGAAACTACACTAAGCATATTACATTAACCCATTTAATTCACCTAGTATCTCCAGGGGATAGAAATGGTTATTTCCATTTTTCCAAGCAAGAAATTGATACTTGGAGATATTAGATCAAAGACAATCAAAAGATACTGGAGCTGAGATTCCATCTGCAGTTTGTCTTACTCTGAAGTCACACTCTTAACCTTCATGCCATATCTCCTCCCACAAATATTAGTCTGTGTTCAACTTAAATCTTAGATCTTTTTTTTCTTCTTCTTCTCATGTGATTTTAATATGTCGAGTCTCTTCAAGACTGGTCTTTTGCAGCTGAGTTTTAGAATGGGACCTGGTATTGTATTCCTATGCAATTTGATCATACCAGATGTAATCTGGCACATTCTCTCTCCTATTCTGCTTCAACACATCCGCAAATGTAATTGGTAAATTATGATTAAGAAGGAGTGCAAACTGGGCATGGTGGTGCATGCCTATCATCCCAACACTCAGAAGGCTAAGGCAGGGGGATCATGAGTTCAAAGCCAGCCTCAGCAACGGTGAGGCACTAAGCAACTCAGTGAGACCCTGTCTCTAAATAAAATACAAAATAGGGCTGGGGTGTGGCTCAGTAATGAGTGTCCTTGAGTTCAATCCCCAGTACCCGCTCCACCCCAAAAAAGAAGGAGTACAGAAACAGAGCCATTAGATTATTCAAGGTGCTTTTGTATCAAGTAATCATTCCCCACTAAGGGGAGTGTTCAACCTGTTACCAACTCATAAAATTGAATTGACAGCCAACCACCATTACTTCATCTTGCTGATAACCATTTCTTGAAATATCACATGGTCATCATAGTCAATGTCAACAGTTAAGATCTAGTCTAAGAAAGGTTGTCCCAGAAAGAATTATGCATTGAAGGCTGAAATTGAAGAAATAGGAAAATAGGTGGAGCACCCCCAATCTGAAAATCCAAAAACCCAAAATGCTCCAGCATCGGACATTTTATGAGCATGAATGTGTTACCACCAGCGGAAAATTCCGCCTTTGACCTCATGTGATAGGATGCAGTCAAGACAGAATCATGACATTTCCTTCAGTCTATGTGCATGGGGAGTGTACATGAAACAAATGAATTTCACGTTTAGATTTGGGTCCCATCTCAAGAAGTATTCTAAAATCTGGAAAAAAAAAATCTGAAACACTTCTGGTCTCAAGTATTTTGGAGAAGAGATTCTCTATCTGTTCAGAGTCCAAAGTATTTACATTTTTTTAAGGGAAAAAAATCTCATCTTTACTTTCAGAAGATATTTATGTTGAGGAAATATGGGGAGAGCTGAAGAAAGAGGTGTCCAACAGCTTTCGCTGGAATCAACACTGATCGATACCTATCTTCACCCCAACTCCAACACCACACAAGAACCAAGACTCCAAGGGAGACCCTGGTATTCCCATGTAACTCTGTGGCTGGCCAGCCTCCTCCTCCTGCCTTTCTTACCTGCTGGAGCAAGGTGTGACTGTTCCTTCTGCTTTGGTACCTCTGTGAACACTGAGGAAATGCCGAACATGGGAATTTCAAATGCTTTTGTTTTATTGGGGACTCTGACCTCCCAGACTGCAAGTCTACTTAATGTGAATCCATTCATCTGTCTCATTTCCAAGTCCCACAGAGGGGTGACTTGCGCCTGTGGGAAGAAAAACCTCTGCTTCAAATATAAACAGAGGAGAGCTTGACATGCCAACCACCCTGGCCTGATGTTCTCAGGTTCTCCTCGGACCCTGCTGTGAGGACCCCACAGAGCCAGCAGGGCATTCTGGGTGATGGAATGCAAATGGATGCACTGACCCCTGCGGCCTCCCCAGGGCATCTTGATTCCTGGCTCTGTGAGAGCCAGGCCCTGCACGCAGTTTTTAAATTGAGRGAAAGAAGGTGGAGAGAAGGGTGGAGGCTTCCTTCTAGGCCAACCACAACTAACTCTTTCGTCCTGTCCAGCAAATCCCAGACAGTGCAATTATCTGGTTAATTTGGCCCTTGGTTGAGAGACAAGCTCCCAAAATTCAAGGCCAGCTTAGACTAAATAGTGGCTTCCGTCCTAAACCTTTTCCCAAATGCTAGAGGATGCCTGTGAGATTCCTGAGAGGTCACTTATGTGACCCACCCATTGATCCAGATGGGCAAAGAGAAGAGACTCGGGCTCCAAGATGGGGCTTGGGAAAATACATCTTCCAGAGGAAAAATGACCAAATGACCTGCTAATTGGTTTCCTGGCTAATTTACCTTCTGGCTTCCATGGAGAGGCATGGCCGGAAATGAGATTGACTCAATTAGCCAAGGTTTCCCAGCATGATTTTAGCCCTCATAGACCAGCTGTGCGTCTGTCCCCAGGGTCCCTGGGTGAGTTATTCTCATGACCATCCCCTCTGATGCCCCTGCTTCAAGATTTTCTACCTACAAGTTGGGCCAAAGGCAGCGCTGAGACGAAAGGGAAGACATTAAGACACCCACCTGGGGTTGCCACAAGGGGATGAGACAGGGCCAGCTCAGCTGGTGACCGAGCATGTACCAGATGGTTTACGGAAACCTCCGATTTTTGAGGGAAGATTAAGGCGCGGTGATTTATCGCTTTTGGAAACCCACGAGCAGCCTGGAATCTGTGGAATCTATCAGTGATTCATTCTGCAAGCATTTCCCTTAGCTCTCATCTGTGCCAAGCCCTGTGCCGCTCACAGAGTGGGATCYAGACAGCCAAGCTCCCTAGCCTCATGCAAACCATCCACCCTGGACACTTAGTACAAAACTCAGGTAAGAGCCAGGAAGGAAAAGCTGAGGTGTTTTGCAAAGGAGTCACCAGACCTAGATAGGGATGGGAAAAGGAGTCTTTGGGCAAAGGACTTTAACACTTTTAGAGAACATTTTTTTTTTTTTTTTTTTAGAAAGGTCACTCTAGCCTTTGTATGAAAAATAATTCAGAGATGGGTAGAAAGTGGATTAAGAAGCTCATAGGAGGGTGTGGGGACGCAGCTCAGGGGCAGAGTGCTTGCCTAGCATGGGCAAGGCCCTGGGTGGAGGGGGGGAGATGCAGAGCCAGCAGGCTCTGGCGAGTGAAAGGGTGTAGAGGTGGAGGGAGAGGGGGGCACCCAGGAGACTGTGCAGGTTTCTGGCTAAGGTGCACTCATTGAGGTCTACCCGTTCTCCAGGGCATCTCCATAGCTCTCCCTGCTGGAGGCCCGGCTGCCTCCCTTGATAGTGGCCTCTGCTGCCCAGGGCACCAAGTCTGGGCTCCCTGCCCTGACCTTCTGTGCTGAAGCTCTGTGAAGACTCACCGCACCTCCCTTCCTAGACCGCAAGCTTTTTTGGGACGGGGTCCCTGATTTGATCCTCATACCCTGCATGAGCAGCTGGCGCAGTAGACACTTGACAAATATTTGCAAAATGAACAAAAATAAACTGCTTTTCTTTTTTTATGAAGGAAAACCAGTAGACATTGGATCCACTTGAAAGCCACAGGGTCACATTGAAATTCAAACCGTAGGTGCTTTGCGACGAAGCCAATTCAGTTTGATGCTCAGAGGGCCCTTTCTCTCTCTTTTCCATACAAGGCTCCAAAAGTGCAGGGAGAGAAAAAGTCATGACCCCCTGCCCCAGTTTTTAAAAACTGTGCTTCTCCCAAATAATTTTATACCAGGTCCTTATCGCTCTTACTTACCGTTTGCCTTTGACGATGATGAAGAGGAGGGAGGAAGGAGAACTAGGAGGAGGGGGAGGGGGAAGAGGAGCATTTATGAAGTGCCAGTGTATACTGGGCACTCTCCTAGGCTCTCTTTAGGCACTAACTCACTCCCAGCACCCCATGAACATAGGTATATGCTGCTATCACCCCAAGAGACCCGGTGAAGAGCTGGAGAGAGCTTTTTTGCTGCAGCATCAATGCCACCAGCTGGTTAGGGGTGGCATTGGGATTCAGAGCCAGAGGATGCCTCCAGAGTCCAGGCTCCATGTGCTCTCTAAGGCCAGCAGAGTGCTCGCAGCCAGGAGCTGCTCACGTGATGAGTGGGAGGAACCCCTCATCTGGACTAAAGGGACCAGAAACTTCTAGTCCCGATTCTGCCACTGATTTCCTATGCACCCTTGAGCACATCTGTGGTTTTTCCCACATAAAACAAGGGACCCGGTGGGGCACGGTGGCGCACACCTGTAATACTAGCCTCTGAGGCAGGAGGATCACGAGTTCAAAGCCAGCCTCAGCAAAAGTGAGGTGCTAAGCCACTCAGTGAGACCCTGTTTCTAAATAAAATACAAAATAGGACTGGGGATGTGGCTCAGTGGTCGGGTGCCCCCGAGTTCAATCCCCAGTACCCATCCCCAGAAAAAAAGGGGGGGGTGGCTGGATATTGATAACTGGCCATAATAAGAGCTAGTATTCTTAATTCTGTTCTTTCTCAAGGTTTTAAGTAATTAAGTTCCAACAACAATTTTAAAAAATTGAGGCACAGAGAGATGAAGTCATCGGTTCAAACCTGGAAATCGAGAGCACCAGGATTCAAACACGTCACCCTCTGAAACTATACTCCCTATCGACGTGGTTCTAAGGAGATGTCTCCAGGGCCATAGGGAACAGGTTGGGGTAGAGATGAGATAGAAATACTTTGGGGGTCTCTCTGCCCATGAACATCAGAACAGCTCAACTTGCCTCTATTTGTAGAATGAGCTCCTACTTTGTATTTCCTGCAAAGAAAAGTTGTGCTGCTAAAACAAAAAAGGTGGAAGTGGCTGGACCAAATAATTCTGGGATGTAATGAGACTCCCAGGTATAAGCAGGATTTTTTCTGGCCATCATAGTTCATTTTGGCTGCAAAAGGTGGGATCAAGGTTCCTCCTGGGAAGGACCCCAGCTTAGAGAAGGGCAGGGTGGTAGAGCTCAGRACTCCACTCCCACCTACCTGTTCCACTCGGATCTCAATCTCTCCATTCACCCTCTTGCCATGGAAATACTTGGACCTGCAAGGAGAGGAAGAAATCAACTGAGTAAGGATGCAGACTGCTCTACTGCTTCCTCCCAAAGGCCTTACCCAAGAAGTGCCTGCCGCCTTCCCTCTCACTGCCCCTCTTGACTGATGACTGCCCCATTATTTAGAGGCAACGTGTGGTGGATGGAAAGAGAACAGGCGGAAGATGGAAGACTCAGAATTTTGGTGCTGTCAAACCACTTGACCTCCCTATGTCTCAGTTTTATCCTTTGCAGAAGAAAGCTGTTAATTGATTGGGTTATTCATTTTTTTTTTAATGATAGCTACACTATGGAACCAATCTAGGTGCCCTTCAAYGACGAATGGATGAAGACATTGTGGTATATACACACAATGGAATATTACTCGGCCTTAAAGAAGAATGACTTTTGACTTTTGCTGGCAAATGGATGGATCTGGAAAACCAAAGGCTGAATGTTCTCTCTGACATGCAGAGGCTAACACACAGTGAGGGAGTGGAGGGAAGAATAGAAGTTCACTGGATTAGACAAAGGGGAACGAAGGAAATGGGAGATGGGAGTAGGTCAGACAGTAGAATGAATCAGACATAACTTTCCTATGTTAAATAYGAATACACCACTGGTGAATGAAACATGTACAATCACAAGAATAGGATCCTGATTAGAATGAGTTATACTCCATGTTTAATATGTCAAAATACACTCTATTGTCAGGATATCTAAAAACAACATATAAAGACCTCCCCACAAAAAAGATATTAATAGGTGTGCCACATATTTCTAAGGTTTATCTTAAAAACTAAATGAGATAATATTTACAGACACAGGGTTCAAGCTTGTAGATTAGAAGAAGGCTGCATTTCTAGCTGCTCCATGGCTTGGGACTGAAGTAGTGGAAGTTGTGCTTCTCAGTGAGGTAAGTGAAAGCGAGGCTTCACTGAAATTCAACTCTGGGCAGTCAGAGTGTCTTAGAGACTCAGAAATTTGAGTGCTTTGAATAAAGAACAAGAAAGAGCACCTTGGAGCCGATCCAGCTGTGGCAGAGGTGGCAGCAGTGGTGCCGGTCACCATGGAGGGGAAGGATAACGCACAGAGGGAACACACGAGGCAGGTGCTGCACGGACAAACTCACAGACTAGAAAGGCCCACAGACTAGCAGCCTGCACTTAGCTGATCCAAGGGCTGGAGAGTGAACCCGTGTTTGGAAAGTGCTGTGTGTTTCTCAACTGGCAAGTGCAGAGCTGAGCTGGGGGCCAATCTGAGGAGGCCACGCTGCAGCTGCTGCAGGAGGTCGCAGCAAGCCCTGCCATACTGTCCCGGCTGGTGCCTACCCTGCGGCCTGGGGTGTGCGGAGCAGAAAGTGAGTGAAATGGGCCCAGAGGAGATCACCTCCGGGTCAATCAGAAAAACAAAAGGGAGCACAGCTTTGCCTTTGAGTCCGGCGGCTCATGGGACCAGATGAAGGGGCCAGGGAACGGATGAGGCAGGTGTGGACATACTCAGGGACTCATCCTGGGCAGCAGAATGTGGAGAATGGGCTCCCTTACCCCGGGAACAGAGTTCTCAGGAGGCTCCTGAGATCCAGACTCCCAGCCGAGGCTGGCCCCAGGGGTGTGTGCATCTAATCTCTCTGGAGCAGGCACCACCCAGTGAAGTTCTCAGTCCCACTCCCCGGAATTCCCCTCAGAGAACCCTGCCACAGCCCCACCCGCAGCGCATCCCTCTGGTCTGTGTGAACAGACTCCAATCCCTGGCTCTTCCCACTTCTCCTACCTTACACTGATAAGAAGGGAAGATAAGAGCTATTTCAATGGGCCTCTTTTAGGCCACGTGAGCTGGCAGCTCAGTGAGCAACAACCACACAAAAGAAAAACAATAAAGGAAGAGGTGGACAACCTCCAGTCCTCCCACCCCACCCCCTCAACAGTCCAAGGAGAAATGGAAAGGAGGACGGCTGGGCCTGGGAAGTGACCACTTATTCTTAGTGACTGTTTAGACCAGCTCAGTGAAGTCCACTCTTCTATTTTTCATTAAGAATCTTTCCTTTCTTTTTATTTATTTTTTTTGTTGGTGTTTTTGATGTGTGGATAGCTTCATGGACATAGGCATATGTATATTCTCATGCTTCTTTGTTTCCTCATTTTTTACCATATTTTATGATGCATTTCCTTGCAATGTCTTTTGAGAGTTAGGGTTTGGGTTGTCTTATTTTTGTGTTGGTTTGGGTCTGAATGATTCTCTTCTCTCCTTTTTTCTCCGACCAACAGCCACATTCCTCTGGTTCTCTCTTGCTTTACTTTGTTTTCCTATTTCTCTCCTCCATCATGTGCAGCGACTCCTCTGCATTCTCTCTGTTCACATTTTGAGCATYCTGAGCTTTCTTCTACCTCCTTAGCATAWTATTGTCATTTTCTACTAATGACCTATATTTCTACC